CGCCTGGTGTGGTGTGGGGGGGGGGGAGCGCGCGCCCTCTTAGAGGCCTTTGATTGGCGCTCCCGCTTGGGGGCAGTGCCGAGGAGGCCGAGGCCTGGGCAGTGGCCGCCCGCGCCGGAGCCACCCGCCCCCTAGCCTCGCTCCCTCTGCCGCCTGGCTCTTTATTTTTAACCCGGTAGCTCGGTTCAGCTCGGCTCCCGTGGCAAAAGCGGAGCCTGGTGGAAGGGGACGAGGCAGATTTCCAGCCGCGAGGAAGAGGAGGAGGAGGAAGAAGGTTGGGCTAGCAGCAGCAGCAGCAGCAGCCAGGTTGCCGCATGCCCGAAGCGGCCGCCACCAGCTGGACTGCAAACGCTCGCCTCCTCTTCCCCGCTTCGCCCCGCCGCTGCCGGCCAGCAAGGAGGCAGACGGCGGCCTCTGGCTTCTCCCGGGCCGCCCCCTGGAACGATCCGTTAGTCAGAGCCCAGCCTCCCTGCTGCTGCAGCGGCGGCGGCGGCGGCGGGAGCGACGGGGACGCAGCTTGCCTTTGCAAATGGCCAGCCCCGCTTTAGATCTGGCGGAGGAGTCGGGCCAGCCTCTGCAAGACGTCTCCCAGCCTGAGCCAGCTTTGGCCGAAGCTCAGCAGTGGATCGAGGTAAGAGTCCAGGGTTGCTGGCTGAAACCGATGCCTGTACGATCGTCCTCACCTTTCATCCCTCCGTGCGCAGGGTCCGCGGACAATTCCCTCCCGCCCATCTTTCTTTAATTTTTTCCCCTCCCCCGCAGTACCTCGGGAGATCCGCGGTAGCGTCCTAGTCAGATCGGAAATACAGACACAGTTGGGACGCTGTCTCCCTGCTTTATCCCTCCCGCCTCTCCGATCCCTTGCAGTTATCCCTCATGGTGCAGAGTTGCAACTGGAAGCAAAATGTTCCTCTACATGAGATGTGAAAGAGCTGCAGCAGCAGGTTAAGCGGACGGTGCGCGTTATTAGGCGGCCCGAGGAATGCATCGTTCTCCCTCGCTCTCTTTTCCGTCTTGGTTCTCAGCCTCTGGGCTCCTGCCCTTCCATTTAAGCTCTTAATCTCATTTATTTCTCTCTCTCTCTCTGTATGTGCAGACTGAAATTCAACGGGAGGTCGTAAACAAGAGTGCAGGCAGAAAGAGAGATGGAGTTCCGTCATATTCTCCTGAGAATGCATTAGAAACTGTTCTGAGATTTGGATGTTGGAAACCGGTTGTTCGTTCGCATCTAGCCAAGTTCATGGGCTGGAGGAGCTTGAGCTGGCCGAGAAGGAGTCGGTGTAGGCGGCCCGGTGGGGGGAGGCGGGGGGGGGAGAAGGAAGAGCCCGACGCACGTGGAGACAGGACTGGTGTCGTTCTGTTGCCTTGGATCATTTGGAATGTACCCACCGACCTCACTTTTGCTCCCTTAGGCTGTACTAGCCAAATGGTGCTTTTTGCTAATATCAGAGTTCACATTTCGACCTTTTTAGTTTTGTACATGAAATAATACACAAGGAAAGAGGTTACATTGTATTAATTTACGTATAAGAAAATTCACATCATCCTCTTCTGGTACTTGCTGCAGGTAATGAAAACCAAACATAAGGTGTGATTGTTGTTCTTTAGTCGTTAAGTCGTGTCCGACTCTTCATGACCCCATGGACCAGAGCACGCCACGCCCTCCTGTCTGCCTCCCGGAGTTGTCTCAAATTCATGTTAGTAGCTTCGATGACACTGTCCAACCATCTCATCCTCTGTCGTCCCCTTCTCCTCTTGCCTTCACACTTTCCCAACATCAGGATCATTTCCAGGGAGTCTAGTCTTCTCATGAGATGGGCAAAGTATGGGAGCCTCAGCTTCAGGATCTATCCTTCCAGTGAGCACTCAGGATTGATTAGCTTCAGGATGGATAGGTTTGTTCTTTTTGCAGTCCAGGGGATTCTCAAGAGTCTCCTCCAGCACCACGGTTCAAAGACATCAATTCTTCAGCAGTCAGCCTTCTTTATGGTCCAGCTCTCACTTCCATACATAGGTAAAGGTAAAGGTTCCCCTTGACAATTTTTGTCCTGTCGTGTTCGACTCTAGGGGGCGGTGCTCATCCCCGTTTCCAAGCCATAGAGCCAGCGTTTTGTCCGAAGACAATCTTCCGTGGTCACAGACCATTATCATATCTATTATTGTGGGCAAGAATCCCATAGAAGAAATGGAATAGCTCTCATAGTCAACAAAAGAATGGGAAAAGCTGTCCTGGGATACCATTTCAAAAATGATAGTATGATTTCAGTAGTAGATATGATAATCGTCTGAATTGAATTTGCCCATTCTCGTCCATTTTAGTTTACTGATGCCCAGGATGTCAATGTTTATTCTTGCCATCTCCTGTTTGACCACATCCAACTTCCCAAGGTTCATAGATCTTACATTCCAGGTTCCTATGCAGTATTTTTCTTTGCAGCATCAGACTTTCCTTTCACTTCCAGGTGCTTCCGCAGCTGAGCGTCGTTTCGGCTTTGGCCCAACCACTTCATTAGCTCTGGATCTACTTGTACGTGTCCTCTGCGCTTCCTCAGTAGCATGTTGAATGCCTTCCGACCTGAGGGGCTCATCTTCCAGCGTCATATCTTTTAGCCTTTTGTTTCTGTTCATGGGGTTTTCTTGACAAAGATACTGGAGTGGCTTGCCAGTTCCTTCTCCAGGTGGATTGAATTTAGTCAGAACTCTCCACTATGACCTGTCCTTCTTGGGTGTCCCTGCACGGCATAGCCCATAGCTTCTCTGAATTACTCAAGTCCCTTTGCCACGACAAGGCAGCAATCCGTGAAGGGGATAAGGTGTGATAAGATTCCCCAAATAAAGTAGGATTAGAACAGAGATGAGTGCATCAGATAAAACAGAAATATTGAACAAACTTGTCTACTTCTGATAAAAGGCCTAAATATAAAGATTTGTTGTAAATGATGAAAACTCATGATGGGCTTATCCTTTTTGTTTGTTTTCCCCCAGATTTGTTCAAACATGCTTTTGTACATTACACTTGATAAGGCAAAATGCAAGCCACCTATATAACGTGGTTGTGTCTGTATAAATCAGCAGAAAGACACCTGTAAAACTAGTGGAATTTTGACATCAAGTCAGTGTTGATCACAGTTGCTTCCAGACAGATTTCTGCGATCCAAACTAGAGGTCATCTTTTTCTTGAAGCAAATGGAATCAATTCTGTATAACTGGAACATGTGTTGACCTTGGTTCAACTTAAAACAAGCAAGCAAAAACGATCTCCAGTATGTGCGTCTAGGAGGATAATAAATATTACTTATACTAAACTTTAGCAGCATTTTGACATTTCTGGTGTAGGTAAGGAAAAACTATTGGCCCAGACTTCAAGAGTATTCATTCTTAACATTATTTGCTGGTGGCTGTTCAGCCTAACTTTGCCCCCCAGCCTTGGCAATCTACAGTTAAAATATTTATAAAACTTCAAAACCTTTTTAGAGCAGCCTCTCAATATTCTTGAGGTTCTGTTGTTTTTCTGTGCCTGTTAACATATTGTTTCAAAAGAGGTATGTGAGCAATGGGGAGTCATCTGTGTGCATGTGTGTAGTTTATATATGAATGCGTCTGATATGTGATTAATCAGCTGCCCTTGTTATAGCTAATCTGACCCTTCTCTCAACTTGCACCTTTGCGTGCATAGTTTCTACATATGATCCCTGGCTGCAGTGTGCCCAAGTGAAGAGAGCTATTCTTGATTGACAGATATGAGGATTTGTTGTGTGGTTGATTTAAGTGACTTGTCAGGTAGGGATTTAAGGTTGCATATGTTTTTATGTTTTTGCTAGTGTGTGACAGCTTCTTCTGTCAATGGCTGATAGGGGTTGATGAGATAGTGTGAGCCTAGGAATAGTTATTCAATGTCTGAGTGGGACTTAGAGTTCGGTGAGACCAACCTGGGAGTAGATCTGCACACTGATAGGAGTTGATGAGATAGCGTGAGCCTAGGAATAGTTATTCAACGTCTGAGTGGGACTTAAGAGTTTGGTGAGACCAACCTGGGAGTAGATCTGCACAGCTTTACAGCACAGTTGTAACTGGAGAGTAATTAGTAGGCAAACAAACTCTGGCTTTCAATTCTAACTTGAAAAGAAAATCATACCTGAGGAAACCCAGTTTGGTGTAGTGCTAAATAAACCAAATCTTGGCGTTTCTTGCTCTGTTAAGCCATTCCTGTTGGCAGGAGTAGGCAAGTGCAACTATCTGAGTATCATGCAGCATCGTGATGCCTGACACCAATAAGTGTAAATTCACAACAATTTTGGCTTTCCACATATTACTAGCCATATATATGAATTGACAAAGATGGCAGAAAATTAAATTGTTCAAAGGTGTTCAGAATGAGAATTGGGGGATGTAAGATTTTAACTTTGTGATACTTGCTGCTCTGTTTTGTTATATATAACCCAGAAGAGCTAGAGAACTGTCACTAAAAAAACTAACATGGGTTCATTCAAGATTGTAAAATGTCAAGTACTCCTTGAGGGTTGCCCACCCTGATTTGGACTGCATAAGATGAAATATAATAGTTGGCTGTACTGGGTTCACCTTAAAATAGATATTAGTCTAATAACCATTGCCTACGAGTCAGCTTTCTTTAGGAGCATATATATAGAATCTTCTGCTAACTTTCCAGCAAGAGTGGTCTAGTGGATGGTATGTACATGAATGTAATGTAGGTTAGGTTGCAGTTTGGTTATTTCATTGCTAGGCAAAGTTAGGCAGATTATATAGAGGTAATAATTTTTCTAAACAATCACAGTATTGCATAACCTACTTTTATGGCTTCTCTGTATGCATGCCACACCCCTTCTCATAAGTTTTCTTGGGATATTACATTTTCATAGCAATCAAAAATAATGTGTTAATTAGTTTATTTAACTTGAATATTGGCCCACTTAGTGCCATTCACTACTCCGGACAGTTTATAAAATAGACCGGTGGACCCCCACCCCCACCCCGCAAATACGACTTTATTATTTTGTACAATTAATATTCTAGAAGAGCTAACTATTTTATGTGCCAGAATTATTGAAGAACATATCCTTTCAACTGCTAACGTGAGTCTAAATCTAGTTCTGAATCTCAGCTAGATACACTCAGTCAGTGGTCAGATCTCTGTTGCTCATTGTGTAAAGCAGTGGTCCTCAACCTTTTTGGGGCTGCAGGCCGGCTGAGCCTCTGAGGAAGGCGCCCCCCCACGGGTGCGCGTGCGCTCTTGGGTGCATGTGTGAAGTGATGGGGAAGCACCCGCCCATCTACCAGCACCAATGTGAGCGTTCCCCCACCCCTTCGTGCATGTTCACGGGTGCCTGCATGCCCACCTGAGAGCGTGCCCACCCACCCCTTTGCGCGGGCACTTGGGCATTTGGCCGCATGTGTGAAGGGGTGGAGGAGCACTCACGCTGGCGCTGGCATGCGCGCACATGTTCAAAACAGCTGTGGGGAGGGGAGTGCATGTGGGGGGCGGCAGGATTTCTATCTTCATGGCCCGGTATGTCTCAGGCCACGGACTGGCACCAGGCCGCGGACTGGGGGTTGACGACCTCTGGTGTAAAGTTTGCACAGCTTGCTGTGCCTAATTTATGAGATGCCAAG